ACAACATCCTTCCTCTCGCCTCTGTCGTGCTTTAACTTTTACCCCTCCTGCGGTTCCTGTTCCTCTTCACCACCTCCCTCTTTCTGTCCGGTTATCTCGCCTACAGGATTCTCTTTCCGTTCGTATTTCTAATGTTTCTCCTCGTGTTGTTCCTTCTTTGCCCCCGTGGAGAGTCCCTCTTCCGCGGTTTTGTACATCTTTGACCCGTATCACTAAAGCTTTTACCCCTCCTACGGTTCTAAAACGCCTTTTCCTTGAGCACTTTTCTTCTCACTCCCACTCCGTTTCTGTCTTCACCGATGGGTCTAAGTCTGCGGACGGTGTTGGCTACTCTGTTGCTTTTCCTGATCGCACTTATATGTGTCGCTTGCCTCCGGAGACTAGCATCTTTACAGCGGAGCTTTATGCTATTCTCTATGCTCTTCGTCTCCTGCTTGCTCGTTGTCAGTCTTCCTTTGTAGTTGTTGTTGACTCTCGTAGTGCCCTCATGGCTCTCAAGTCCTTTAATCCGGTTCATCCAGTAGTTGTCGAGATCCAGCATTGGCTGTTTCTTGTTCACAGTAAATTTAAGTCGGTTGAGTTTTGTTGGGTTCCCAGCCATATTGGTATGTCTTTAAATGAGCGTGCGGATGCTGCCGCCAAGGAAGCTGTCCGCGCATGTCCCCCTCTCTCGTAAAGGTGTTCCATTTTCCGACTTTTACCCGGTTATCCATTCCTCCGTCCTTACCCGTTGGCAGGCTTCTTGGTCGTGTGTTACTGGTAACAAACTGCGTACTCTTAAATGTTGTGTTTCCTCGTGGCCGTCCTCCTACCACCGTAACCGGCGATGGGAAACAGCTCTGGCGAGGTTGCGTATTGGCCATACTCGCTTAACCCATGGTTACTTGATGGAGCGCCGCCCTGCTCCTTATTGTCCTAGTTGCATTGTCCCTCTTACAGTCGTGCATGTCCTTCTTGAATGTCCTGACTTCCAAGACGAGCGTGTGTCTTGCTTTCCGACCGCCCTTCGCGGTCACCTGTCCCTCTTTAGAATTCTTGGTGACTCGGATACTTTTGATATCGTTCGCCTTATGCGTTTTTGTTCTCGTATTGGCATCCTTGGTGATATTTAGTACCCTCTGATTATTCTGCGCATTTGATGGTGCTACATAGCCTTCCTGGTTTGGTGCCTTCTTTTGATAATTACTTACTTACGAACAGGACCTCTAAAGTCTATATACACGGCAAGTTTTCAGATATCATTCCAATACAAACGGATGTCCTGCAAGGCTCCATTCTAAGCCCAACCCTTTTTGCTGCATTCTTAGAAGATTCACCTAACACCCACCCTGTTCACCATTCGGTATACGCTGATGATTTAACATTGAATTATTCAGACAATGGCCTACCTATATAGCCTCAACAATGCAAACAACACTTGACCACATCATAGATTAGACACAACAATGGGGCCTCCAAGTTAGTACTATCAAAACCTGATATCAGATTTTCACTAAAAAAAAAAAGGCTTGTTCATCTACCCACACTCATAATACACAACACTCCCATCCAAACGTCCGAGAACATAAATACCTTGGCATGCATTTTGACTCGCCCTTACCTGGAAAGCCCACATTCAACATCATAAACAGATGATACAACCACGACTTGCCATACTTAAAGCCCTCACAGGCACCATTTGGGGAGTACACCATAATATTTTTTATGGTGTACTTCTATGGTGACGTCACTTTACTTCAAAACTCTGAAACCCAACATACTGTCCCCCCCCCCCTATTCCACTTTGGTTTTATACAACTCCTAATACTTCAATGCAGTTGGAAGACAACATTCCAAAGTCTGCACCAAACTCAGTCATAGCCTCAGTCTTTGCCTTAACAATGAAAAATTGCTACCACAAATTGAAATACCACAGCGATTTATACAGATGGATCTCGCGTCCTCATGAACAACGCACTAGCGCGCAGAATGGATACTGAAATACCATCTCGAGCAGGGATTGTATTTCCTTCGTGGATTAGATTATTTCGTTCATGAATCTAGATCATTCATAGATACCTAAGAACCATAAAAAGTGTTTGTAGCTCTGATACCTATGACTTACGGATTTTATAATAAATTTGATAATTAATGCATAATGAATTTAGTGACGTGGACTGTAAAACTTCGGTTTAAAGTGGAGTGATTCCCCTACACATCCTTTGTCGGGGGGGGGGGGGGGGTTAATAAGCACCCCAGAAGTGACTCGAACTCGGACCGACAGGAGCACATTGCTACTGGTGTACACGGTGCCTTAAACAACTCGACCATCAGTGACCGTACAAAACGTGGTGAGAGCTGAGGCTATATGAACCACCTCCCCGACGGCACTTTTATGGTAATCTTGGGCATAGCTTTTCATCAAATCACCTCTTTTTGTGGGGCCACGTGAACAACATCCTGTAGGAAGAGAGAAGATCTGGCATACAGCTAGACGCCGGAGGCAGGCAACAATTAATTTTTACTTTTGATTGGGTCTGACGTCTAGTGATGCGTATCACATCACTAGACGTCACTCCCAATCAAAAGTAAAAATTAATTGTTGATTGGGGAGCCGGTCGGCCGAGCGGACAGCACGCTGGACTTGTGATCCTGTGGTCCCGGGGTCGATCCCGGGCGCTGGCGTGAAACAATGGGCAGAGTTTCTTTCACCCTATGCCCCTGTTACCTAGCAGTAAAATAGGCACCTGGGTCAGCTGTCACGGGCTGCTTCCTGGGGGGTGGAGGCCTGGTCGAGGACCGGGCCGCGGGGACACTAAAAGCCCCGAAATCATCTCAAGATAACCTCAATATAACCTTCGGCTTCTAGCTGTATGCAAAATCTTCCGTCTTTTTTCAGGATCAATGGAGGACCATTAAACAGTTGTATGCTCGAAGCCGAATTCATTTGGATGTTGATTACTGGTGTCAACTCCCGAATGAACACAACTTCAAGCGTACGAAGCCTCGTACGGTGGTCGGTGTGTGTAATTATTATCGCATCTTTCACTATGTCTTGGCGATTCAGAATGGTGTTGTGGTGTTGCTTAATTCCTCCCTCTTGCAAATGAAGTGTGAGACGTCTGCTCAGTGTATTCGTCGTATTTCCAAGGTAGCATATATTTCGGTGTGCACAGTCTCCAGATCTGTATTTGTATTGAAACATTACTTTTAGTACATATGTTTGTCAGAAGAGGCAGAGATGTTATTTATCATAATGAGAGAAGATGTGCGAGGGTTGTTATAACAAATAACAGGACGAGACCTTGCGTTTTCACTGCAAGGTTTACAATTCCTGTCAATTATATCTCGTATCACCTTCTCATCTATCTTGTATGCCCGAGTAAATGTATCTATAATTCACTACAATGCCTTCCCTTGGGGGCCGATTTTTCACCCCTGGAGCCTGACTATTTTCAGATAGCGACTTAGCTTTTTACTAACGATTTCGTCAAATTCTGAATTGCTGTAATCGTTGTTCACAACAATTTGGCGGATTCGTTCAAGTTCATGGTGCATCAAGTTTTACTTAGTGCAAGAGCTGCCAAGTAGAGAATGTATGTATTGCGGGACCTATGCAATACGTACAGTGATGATGCTTCTCTTATACCTACAATGCATTCACTCCTACCGTTCATACATTTTCTCTGCATCAGTTGGTTTACGATACACATCTGTGATGAATTTATCTGAATTACCGTCAACGAGAACATTGACGAATGGAATACTGCCTCCTTCACTATTCTCAACGGTGAACTTCAAGCCGGAGAATTCTTGTAGCTTGTCACGAAGCCTCTCCAATGTGTTATCATTGTCATCACATACGAATGTGTCGTCTACTTATCTTCAGAAGATAATAGGGTTCAGCCCTTCCCTCTGCATGATGGACGACTCAACATAAGACATGAATTAAGTTATTTGACTTATTAACTTATTTGTTATTTTGTTCGCCAAGTTATTGACTTGGCGAACAAGACCCTCAACGGGGACCCCATTGCCACACCATCAACCTGCAGGTAGAGTTTACCCTCTGGGCACAGGAAAGAAGCTTCAGTGGTGCAAGACTTCAGCATATCCCGTAAGATAGTTCGAGGTTCCTTGAGTGGAAGAAGGCGCTCCTGTTGATACACATAGTCCAATATTATGTTTATTGTCCTTTCCACTGAAACGTTAGGAAATAGACTGTCAACGTCAAGGGAAGCTGTGATCCCACGAAGAACTCTTGTTTTCAGAACGTGGTTCTATCGTTCAGAGCAGATCTCACGGGAATCAGCCAAAAACCTAATATATAATATTTGATTAAGGAAATACTGGCTTACATTACGAAATATAACGTAACCTCGGTAATGTTATCTCTGAAAACACCCAGCCAATTAATACCTTGATTACAATCAGTAGTATTCCGAAGCAGCTGCTCCTTATTATTTTCTCTTGCGAAATTCAATCGAAAAAAACTGAATGGAAATTATAAGAATAATGCGCTAAGCCAGCATGACTATATTGAACTTGAAAGTAATATAAGGCTACAGAACTGAAATATGTGGACGGGGTGAAGCAATGGTCGCCAACTACTTTCACAATAAAGGATCGATCACTGATCTTGCAAAAATAAATTCAGGATCATTCTTTTTTACATGTTGGGATGACTTGGGCATCCCTTCTTTCTGTTTGCCCCCGAACAAACAGCAGAAATTAGGGAATGGATCAATCTCAGTCGGCGTTGTCTTCTGGGAAAAATACTGTATGTTGGAAAAATTCATAAAATTACCCGTTGAAGAAGAAGAAGCAGAAGTAAAAAAATAATCTATCATGTGCTCTCTAATATTTAAACAAAAATATAAAGGTAATCTGACATGTATTTCACAATAAGGTTTATCTTAGTATAACGATTTTATTTTAATAACTTATCGGCTTTAAAAATTAGGGAAAAAATAAAAATTCTGCAGTTGACATGGTTTAAGCTAATATGGTACGTTTTGCAGATGACTGCATGTTTGACCTGGATCTCTGCTCCTGGACCAACAGCGACTCTTCTGACAACTTCGACTGGAAGATTGGACGTAGCAGTGAGAAGAGAGGCACAGGGCCCTCCAGGGACCAAGCCTCCTCACTCAACACCCGTATCACTACAGGTATTATAGCACAGTTATTGATGTTACTTCCAATAATATAGTAACAATACACTATATACAAACATAAATTTGCAAAAGGCTGCCATACAACTAGCCACAACGCTCTCTTCCGCTATATATTAAAATATATACGCATTAACATACCTAGAATGGGTACCACCTCTGGTGCAAGTGTAGGGACCCATAGCCTCGGAGAAGAAAATAGAGAGTACTCAGAGAAGACCTTGTGGATCCTCACTGAACCCTTTGATATCTTCTTCTCCTACCACCCCTATTCTTTTGGTATGTATGTATATTTATCTAACTTTATTTGAAAATGAATAGCATTAACATATATATATTTTTTGTGAGTAATGTTTCAGTTTGAGTTATCTGACATCAGATATCGTTATAGAAAGACATAATACCTCTATTTAGATAAGTCAACTATCCTGTAGCAAGAGCATCTCAAACGAATGTCGAGTAATGATTAACAAGATCAAACCAATTTATGCGTAACATTGAAATAATTTAATTTAGCCTCCCCTGCCCTTACCTATTGTTTGTATCATTCACCTATAGAAAGTTACTGACTTTAATATTCTGACCATTGCCCTAACTTTTACAATCATAGAAGGGTTCCACTGGCTATTATGTCATCTTATCTTATAGCTATCTTGTCTGCTTAACCCACTGTTATTTCCTAAACATTAGACAGAGTAAGACTGAAATCTTTATCCTCCCGCCGTGTAATTGTATTTTCCTCTTTTAAATCGACCAAGGCGTCTATGCACAAACAACAAGGCTCTATCGATCGATGTGATCTTTTCAACTGTCACATAGTTTTAACAACCAAACCATCACCGGAGATATCTTAACTAGCAACGCCGAAATCGACATTACATATCCAGCACTCTAGTTCAACAATAAACAGCCAGCTTACTCCTCCGACACTTACCTTCCTCCTTACACCATACAGCAGCCGACCTCGACTATGTTATTGTTGTCGTTTTTAGGGGCGACGACGATCGAAGAATCTGATGCGCCCCTGGCGTACCCGTTAAAGGTAAATCGCGAAACCTAAAGGCGAAATTAATGTCGCACATCGGCGAAAACAAATGTGTCTTGCGGCAGATAAACACACGGATGGGCAGATGATTGGAGAGCCCCAGGAGTCCCTCAGCGATGCAAGCACCGGCCCCGCACCACACTGAGAAATAAAAAATTCGGCTCCCAACTAAAATGCCTAAAGTCCTCCAGTGCCCTCTGGCAAAGCAGAAGCCAGCCGCCCACCACCTCTGAGGGGCACACCAGGAGCCACCCAGGATCTGCCAACTCCCGGTCAAGCCGGCGCCGGATACAGTCACTCTGCCCGAATAACCACCCAGAAAATTTTCAGAATCTATCACCATTCCTGTGACCCAAGTTGATACGTGCGCCTGGCGTCCTAAAAATCCGGACCATTGGATAGGAACACCAAACGGCAGTATCAAGACACAAAATCGCGAAACAGAACGTAATCCGGCGGCCCCCAGGCGTCTGCTCGCCGTCAAGGTTGAACCAGGAGTCCTCGACTATGTAACCCCACACTTTGCCTCATCCTACTCCTACGGGCTACTCATGGCCATGCCACCTTCGCGATGGCTTAATCTTTATCAATCAATCAGTTTCATCCAACTTGGTGTACATAATATACTCCCAGTCGTTATACATCCACTGCCTCTGTAGATGTTGTTTGCAATGTCTCCTTGTGTCGTTCTGTACTTGCCCCCATGCAGGGTCCCACTTGCGAAGTTTTACCCAATTGGTCAAGGCGCCTACCCCTCCTTCTGTTCTGAAACGCTTTTTTCTTGAAACTTTTTCTTCACACTCTACTCCGTTGCCATTTTCACAAATAAGTATAAGTTTGCCAACAGTTTTGGCTACTCAGAAGTCTTTCCAGACCAAACCCTTACCCTCTGAGACTAACATCTTCAAGGCTAAACTGTGCAGTTTTGTATACTTAATTGTTCTCCTGACGTCAACGCTCCTTTGCTATTGTGGTTGAATCTCGGTGACTCTCATGGCTCTGGGGTCATTTAGCACAATCGTTGGCCAGGAGTTACAGGTAACAAACGGCACGCTTATAAGGGCAGCCTGTTCCTTCAGCCTTTCTCCTGCCACCATAATCGGTGGCGTAAATAGGATCTGGTGAGGTTACGTGTTAGTCATTCACTCTTAACTCACGGGCACTTAATGGAACGCTTCCCTACTCTTTATTGTTAAAATTGCATTGTCTTTCTTACAATTGTGCACCTCATTGTGGAATATCTCGATTTTCAGGACGTTTGTTTGTCTTGCTTTCCTAATGTCCCTTGAAGTTGTTTGTCCCTCAATAATATCAATTGTGAATCTGATGCCTTTGATACTGCTTACCCTATGACCCTATGTGCTTTTGTTGTCGTAGAGGCATTCTCAATATTTAATTCTTTTTAAATATCCAATGACACTGATGGTGCTGCAAAGTGTCCCAGGCTTCGTGTCTTAGTAGCTATGCCGGCCAGAGGAGGTAAGTCTCTAGCCTCATCAGTCACGAAATCAATCAATAATTTATCTGTAACTGACGACTTGATCCCCCATCTTTTACTTACGGAAAAGCCGCCATTACAGACCTAATAAAAGATCAAATTGCAGCTTGAAAAACAGAAATCCAATTGAAAATATTTAAGAATCCAACACAATAGGGGCAATAAGTGAACGCAATTGCACCTAGAAATACTTCCCCAGCCGATTCGCTGAGAGAAAGAAGCACCCTCTCTAGTATAGGAAAGCTCTGTTCTTGATAAATTTCCCAAACCTACAACCACCTGTAACACCTTCAAGAGTCTGTGGCATACCAAGAAATCTTGTCATTTGGGCCATACTCCGCAGGGAAGTATAAGGATGTATGACCACAGCGCCTCATGGAGATGGTAAAACCCAGTTATCGCCAAAGCTGCCGAGACTCCACTGTTGGGTTTTACAAAGTTTGTCAAGAAATGACTGTCTGAACTGATAATAAATGTAATTCTTCTTGGGTTAAAAAAAAATTTCATCCGAGTAAAAAAAAAAAAGATGTATTAAAAACAGTTCAGTCAAAATTTCCTTGTTTCTCCCCTTTATTTCAGTGAGATACAGGAAGGAATCGACACTTGCTCGGAGAGTATGAAGTAGTTTGTGCAGGTGTCCAGCAGTTGCATCCTCTTGCACCTTTTCTTCTCTGCTTGGTTGTTAATTGTGGTCAGATAGGTTAACCAGCGAGATGAACATCTAGTTCCAGGATAGCACCCTGGCAGGGACCCAGGAGGTGCTCCCTAGTGAATCTGTAGCTGGTGAAATCTAAAGGAGAGTAAGGACTCTCCAATTTCAAACTGCCAGTGTGTTGCTGGAGACCTCTGCCAGCATGTTAATGGAGAGTAGAACTAATGTTTTAGCCTCGTGACGATACTGTGTAGGACTGGCCCATGATTTACTGAGAAAGGTGAACTCTTTGGCGTGAGGACTATAGAAGACAGACTCAAGGAGGAAGCCTTGAGTGGTGTACAATAGAAGATTGATGTGGACTCGCCGGGAAAGAAGATTGCAGAAGTCTTATAGTGTACAGTGCGAAAGTAACGCCTGCAGTGTTGCCAGTCATGTACATCTATATAAATAAAAATGTAAACGTCAGTTTGTTCAAAATTGCTAATCTCTGAAAGTTATTCACCGATTGCTTTGAAATTTTGACACAACGTTCCCTTCCGTCGACTGGGCTCTCACTCACAGCTCTGGCTGGAAGCAGGTCCATGAAGAACTCTGTAGGGTAGAACATAGAACATAAGAACAAAGGCAACTGCAGAAGGCCTATTGGCCTATACGAGGCAGCTCCTATTTATAACCACCCAATCCCACTCATATACTTGTCCAACCCGCGCTTGAAACAATCGACGGACACCACCTCCACCACTTTACGCGGTAATTGGTTCCACAAATCAACAACCCTATTACTGAACCAGTATTTACCCAAGTCTTTCCTAAATCTAAACTTATCCAATTTATACCCATTGTTTTGTGTTCTGTCTTGTGTTGATACTTTTAATACCCTATTAATATCTCCTTTATTATGTCCATTCACCCACTTGTAAACCTCTATCATGTCACCCCTAACTCTTCGCCTTTCCAGTGAATGCAACTTAAGCTTTGTTAATCTTTCTTCATATAAAAGATTTCTAATTTGGGGAATTAACTTAGTCATCCTACGCTGGACACGTTCAAGTGAATTTATATCCAGTCTATAATATGGCGACCAAAACTGAACTGCATAATCTAATTGGGCCTAACTAGATCAAGATATAGCTTGAGAACCACACCAGGTGTCTTGTTACTAACGCTGCGATTAATAAATCCAAGTGTCCGATTTGCCTTATTACGAACATTTATGCATTGATCTTTTTGTTTTAAATTCTTACTAATCATAACTCCCAGATCCCTTTCGCAATCCGACTTCGCAATCTCACACCATCTAGCTCGTATCTTGTAACTCAATCATCATTACCTAACCTCAGAACTTTACATTTATCAGCATTAAACTGCATCTGCCAATCCTTTGACCATTTCAAAACCCTATCTAGATCAACTTGAAGTGATAGTGAGTCCTCCTCCGAATTAATTTCACTACCGATTTTCGTATCATTGGCAAATTTGCAAATGTTGCTACTCAAACCTGAATCTAAATCATTTATATACATTATAAACAACAGAGGTCCCAGGACAGAGCCTTGAGGCACTCCACTTACAACATTTTCCCACTCTGACTTGATTCCATTTATACTAACTCTCTGTTTCCTTTGGTATAGCCATGCCCTAATCCAGCTTAATATAGCACCCCCAATACCATGAGACTCTATCCTTTTAATCAGTCTTTCATGTGGCACTGTATTAAAAGCTTTGCTAAAGTCAAGGTACACAACATCACAATCCTTACCACTATCAACTGCCTCAACTATGCTAGAATAAAAAGATAA